TGGGACGCCGCTTTGTCTGGCCACACCACCACATAGATTTTACGCCCACAGGGATAGTTCCCTCTTGTGCATGAATATTTGGGGTAGTGACCCCGTTAGTTTGTAATTTTTGTCTGTTCTCCGCCTTGTGCGTACTGCCATTCGGTACTAGTCTAAACCTTGCATTTCAATTTCTCATTTAATGTCCCTACTCTCCTTTAGTATCCAACTTTCCTTCTATACCTCCCTTTTCACATTCCCTCTTTCCTCTCCCTGATCTCTCCTAGCGAGGTAAACCAACTCCCCCTGGGGTTCAGAGGGCGTGGTCATGAACCTTTTAACCTGTACTCTGATGTCCTGGAATGTCAAGGGACTCAATATCCCGGAGAAGAGAACTGCTGTCCTCAACGAATTGCAGCGTTTGAAAGCAAAGTTATGCTTCATTCAGAAAACGCATTTTAAGGTCTCCAGCATCCCAAGGTTTTGGAAACAGTGCTACCCACTGTGGTTCTCCAGATGGTAAATGAAAGGGGGTTAGTGTTTTGGTGCATAGAAATGTGCAATGGCAATTTGTGGATGCATATTATGGGCAGGAGGGTAGATTCGTCTTTGTGAAGGGCAGAGTGGGTCCCACCTTATCTATGTTTGAAAACCTGTACCTGCCTAATGTGGGTCAGATCCTTTTTCTGGAATCAACCCTGGAATAACTGGGGGAATTAACAGAAGGTGTACTGATCCTGGGGGTGGACTTTAACATGGTACTTGATCCCACTCTAGGACAGCTTCTAGGTCTAGGTCAACATATTTTAAGGTCTCCAGCATCCCAAGGTTTCGAACCAGTGCTACCCACCGTGGTTCTCCAGATGGTAAATGTAAGGGGGTTAGTGTTTTGGTGCATAGAAATGTGCAATGGTAATTTGTGGATGCATATTATGGCCAGGAGGGTAGATTATGTATGTTTGCAAACCTGTACCTGCCTAATGTGGGTCAGATCCCTTTTCTGGAATCAACCCTGGAATAACTGGGGGAATTCACAGAAGGTGTACTGATCCTGAGGGCGGACTTTAACACGGTACTTGATCCCACTTTAGATAGCTCTAGGTCAGGTTCACACCTCTCTTACTCTGCCCTCAGGAGAAAGAGAAATGCTTCCAACACTATCAACTGATGGATGTTTGGCACATTTTGCACCCGGAAGACCGGGACTATACTTTTTACTCCAATCCCCATGGTTCATATTCCCGAACAGACTTGTTTCTGCTATGACACCAAGACCTACCATTGGTGCGGCGGGTGTCTATTGGAGTCATATCTATTTCAGACTATGCCCCAGTGTGTCTAACCCTTGACTTAGTGCCCTCAGTCCACGGTCAAGGGCAATGGCATCTAAACGAGTCAGTTC